GATTTTTTTTAAAATTTTTATTTATTTATTTATAAAAATATTTTATTTATTATTTTTTGTTCTTTTTTTTTTGAGCTGAGGACCGAATCCAGGGCCTTGTGCTTGCTAGGTCAAGCACTCTACCACTGAGCTAAATCCCCAACCCCTATTATTTTTATTTTATGTGTATGCATGTATTGCCTGCATGTAGGTAAGTGCACCCATGTCATGCAATGCCTTCAGAGGACAGAGAGACTGTTGGATCCCCTGGAACTGGAGTTACAGACAGCTGTTAGCTGCCATGTGGGTCCTGGGATTCGAACCTGGGTCTTCTGCAAGAGCAGTCAGTGTTCTCACTGCTGCACTATCTCTCCAGCTCCCACCACATTGATTTCAGTTACTATAGTTTTGTGGTAATTTTTGAAACCAGTGAATGTAAGACATAAAACATTTTCTATTTTAATTGTGTCTGTGTGTGCATCGTGTGTATCTGTGTGAATGTCTGTGTGTGTGTCTGTGTGTCTGTGTGTGTATCTGTTTGAGTGTGTGTGTCTGTGTGTGTCTGTGTGTCTGTGTGTACTAAGCCATCTCTCCAGCCCTTGCTTTAATATCTTTTAAGCAGCATTTTATAACTTTTATCTACAAATTTTCAATTTTTAAATGTTTATTCTTAAATATTTTATCCTTTCTGTTGCTAGATTGTTAATTTCTTTTTCATATTGATCATTGTTAATATTAATATATAAAACATAAATAATCTTTTCATGTTGGTTTTCACGTCCTGTAATATTGCTGAATTTATTATTTATAACTTTAAAAAGCTAGATCATTCAAATGTTTTTAGAAACAATCTAGTAAGATGGTTTTGAGAAATGGTAAAAGTTGAATAGGACAATTGCTGGGCTCTCTCTGTCCATCTGATATAAAAAAAAAGAAGCATTTTTCCCCCAGCACTCTGACCTAATAATAAAGCATATTTAATCTTTGAGGCCTCCATGCACTTAGCATGGGTTATAGATGTGTATGTCTTAATCCTTCCATAAGAAAGTCTTAATCCTTCCTTAAGGAAGCTTATGATATCCCTGATAAGGCTTGGCTTACCTATACCACTAGGACAGAGTACATCAGGCACTAATCACTGTGATTAAAGTCTGAAGATTTCCATGAGGCCAGGGAAGAAGCTGTGAGCTTCTTGGAGGGTCAGGCTAGAGTAGGATATTGGAGGATAGGGCTTCTGACAGAGCCCGAAAATCTGTTACCCTAAACTGCTTACCAAGATTGTTAGGTTAATTCCTTTGCTACTTGAAGAGATTGTAAGTCTAGAATGAGCATTGTTTTTAAGAAGAAACAGTGGCTTTAGATACTTTCTGAAATTGGCCGTGCCTACTGTAGAGCATGGGAACAGTGTGGTATGATTTGTGTTTGGAAGACAGGTTTGCTACCTATGCTCAGGTGTTCTCTGTAGAGCAGTAAACTGTTTTCCTTTTCAGACATGAATGAACACAGCTCTAGAAGTCACAGTATCTTCCTGATTAATATTAAACAAGAGAATGTGGAGACTGAAAAAAAACTCAGTGGGAAGCTTTATTTGGTTGATCTGGCTGGGAGTGAAAAGGTAATTATTTATATTATCTATAATTTCTCCATGGTATTTGCTCGAGAGTGAAATTATCTAATTTCTGTTCCTTTCTACCCCCTGGTTTTAAAGAGCTTTAAAATGTTGAGGCACAGTGTATCAGATATCTTTGTTTTTCTTCTTTCTCTTCTGGTCCTAAAGGCCCCTATTTATGTCAAAGCAGGTACTTCCAAGGCTCTCATTCATTTTTGCCTGATAGGTCTTGATGACAACACTAGGCAGGCATCAGTGTGAAGTTAGCCTGGCAGAGGCAGCTGTGCAGAGGTGGGACATGAACTTGTGGGGGAGGGAAGGATCTGATGTATCAAAGTCTGATATGCTAGGGCTCTGCTGTTGGAATATGGTCCTGCCCCCTGCAGGTTTTGCCTTACTGATGAGAGGTCTGGAACCTGGTGCTCTCCCTGTATTTACTGGTTCTGCTGACAATGGGCCTGAACTGAGATAGTGTCTAGTGTGAATGACCTTAGCTCCTCTGGGCTATGAGGCATCCTCTGGTTTTGTTGGGACAAAAAAGAGCACTAACCAGGGCCATATCCAGACCAGATATCTTCCTACCAGCCAGCTCCCTGCCTGCTCCTATAAGCTGCCTCCACTGAGCAGGGGAGATCTCACTGCCACACCCTGGCTGGGGCACCCCAGCCAGCATCCCTTTGGGCAGCATCACAGAGCCAGTCTACAGGTACAATGTCTGTTCCTGCCATCATCGCTGACATCAGCTGGTTGTTCCCATCAGGGTAGGCCTTGAATCTTAGTCAGTCTCCCTAACTGTACAGGCGATCACCACTTACTGCCTCACACGGCTAAGTTCCTGAACCTACCTAATGGCCACTAATGTCCATGTAAGTAATAGTTGCTTTGATTTTCCTCTTATTTGCCTTTGCCACAAGCAGAAAAATCATCAGCTATTCCTGGTCAGGAATCTAAGATGTTACTGCTGTGGCCTGGCAACTTCTCAGTCACTCACCAGGATGAAGTAATGGAGCAGGTTGTTTAGCTCTAGACTGATTATTGACTTGACTCATGCCAGGTACAGGCTAATACAAAGAGCTATTACAAAGAGCTTCACACCCCTTATTCTTGTGGGGTGTGAAGATGTGTATTTAAGGCTGAAATATACCTCAAAACTGTCTCCTGCCCACAGTTGGTGCTTTCTGCCAGTGGTACTTGGGAGGTTTTTAGAATGTCCTTTCTGTGCTTTCCTTTGCTCACATCTATTTTCCTTGTATGAATATACATCACAAACAGAACTTAGGTTTTAATTCCCATCATCCCTAGTGGCCATCCCTCCCTTAGGCTGGCAGTAGACATCTCTGGACCTTGTCCTTGCCTGCCAAAGGAAGGTGATGGATAGTCCCACCTTGTGTATTTCATGGGGTTAAGGTGCTCACATTAGAAAGCATCTGAAAACTAGTGGTGTGAATGGGCTGTTATTTATGTCTCATCAGCTCCTGGTAGCTCTGTCTGTAAGCAGGATGTGCCCTCCATAGTTGGAGGACAGAAGAAGTCGGTCCTATTTGCAGAACCCTCCCCACCACAAGCATTCACTTCTATTGTTGAGGGGATGTCCTCTCATTTATATGTAACTGAAGTCCATCCTTGCAGCTTAAAGTTAATTTTCCTTTTTTTCATATTTTACTTATTATTTTAATTTTATATGTATGTGTGCATTGCCTGCATGTAGGTAAGTGCACCCGTGTTGCGCAATGCCGGCAGAGGACAGAAGAGGCTGTCGGATCCCCTGGAACTGGAGTTACAGACAGTTGGTAGCTGCCATATGGGTGCTGGGATTCGAACCAGGGTCTTCTGCAAGAACAACCAGTGTTCTTAACCGCTGAGCCATCTCTCCAGTCCCCCCGCCACTTCTTTTAAAGAGCAGCTGCCTACCCCGAAGCTTTTGTACAGGCCTCTGTGACCCAAATCACATGGAGTCCCTTTTTTATTTTTTGCAGCATTTGTAAGCCTCTTTACCTAGAGCAAATGTTGTAATTGTGAACTTACCTGTAATAGCACAGCAGAGGAAGCACCATGCATGGCCCTCCTAGCTTCAGAGGAAACCAAAGTGCACAGTATAATATATACTTGTCTTTCCATGTCTCCCCCAAGTTGTCCACATTTTAGAGACGCCCCCTTCCCTGCCTTCCTTACTCCTTGCTGTGGAAGGAGGAACAGTCAGAACCACTGTTTGCATCTCCTGTGCTCCTTTGCCTGAAATTGGGGCTGGCAAATGTTTTCCTCACTGTGGCTCATGACAGTTCAGCGCTCCCACTGGACTCCCCTCTGACTGAGGCTGCCATCCACCTCCCCGCCCCCCAGGACCCAGCTCTTCCTCCTGTGGCGCTGCTGGAGCCTAGTTTCCCTGGATGGATGCCCTCTGGGGAAGTATCTGTTGATCTCCCACATGAGGCATTTCAGCCATTCCACTAAAACCTAATCAAGGAGAAAATGACAGCAGGAGAGACCAAATCCCCAGCCTGCAGCTCCAGGGACAGCTTGCTCAGTGTGGTTCTTAGTTACTTTCATTTTGCCTTGCTTTCCAGGAGTTTCTCCCTGCTGCCTTTTTCTGAGTTTGAATTTTCTACTTTCTGCTCTTGCTACCTTTACCACATTTTATTTTCTCTGGTAGGTCAGCAAAACTGGTGCCGAGGGAGCTGTTCTTGATGAAGCTAAAAATATCAACAAGTCTTTGTCTGCTCTTGGAAATGTGATCTCTGCCTTGGCAGAAGGAACAGTAAGTGATCCTGTCCCCATCTATTAACTAGTATGATGGGAAAATGCTTCTGGTTCTGTGTATTCATTCTCATTGCCACACCCCCCTGAGATTAGTTTCTTTTGCTGTTGGGGAAAGGGTTGAGGGAATCCTGGCTGGGGCGCCTGTGAGATCCAGTCCACTAAAAAGTGTGAACAGTGATGTTAACTTCCCATGATGTGGGTCAAAGAATGGGCATAGAATGGGACCTTAGCAAGATCCAATGACCTGGCCACACATTCTTACTTTCTACTTTTCTAAGTTTAGCATCTCCATCCCTGGCCGATTTGCTTGTTTCTGTAGTTTTTCTTTGAACAGGCCATCAAAACCAATACTTTTTCTTTTCCTCAATAGAAAACACATGTGCCATACCGGGATAGCAAGATGACTCGGATTCTCCAGGACTCTCTGGGTGGGAACTGTAGAACCACGATTGTCATTTGTTGTTCTCCTTCTGTCTTCAATGAAGCCGAGACCAAGTCCACACTGATGTTCGGACAGAGGTGCGTTTGGGGTCAAGATCCATGCTCTGTGCTGGGTTATAAGTCTTAGGTGTGAGTGGCTTGGAGAAAGATTCAGAGGGGCAGATCATCTGTAAACTTGAAGCGTTATTCAGGAAGGCCAAAGGGATTATGTCTTCCGTAATGCTCAGGAGTATGCCAGTCAAAAGAATTATGTCTAATGAACCAAAATGTCCAAGCTCATTGTTACAACTGTTGGTGACCGAAAAGGGTGTTGCCTTTGTTCTTTGCGGAGCTGAAGCCCAACTTTTAGGTTCATACAATTTCAAATACATAAACCAGAAGATTGGTAACCACCTTTAACACCAGAATTTGGAATCCATTGCAAAGTTGCTTATAAAAACAATCAGAGACATGGACAAAGGTAAGTAGCAGCAGAAATAAAAGAGGGGGAGAGGTACTAACCCTGAGGGTGGGAGGTGCGGAACGTATATGAAGGAACGAAGGTGATGGCAACCAACTTCTCACTGTCTGAAAGACCAGGGATGTCCTTGGTCTCTGGGAGTGTTAGCAGCTGGGCAGCAGGAAGGCTGTAGGAATGCTCAAGCCGGTTCACGTGCGGGGGTTGGTTCTTCCCTTCCTTGCCTCTCTTATTGTTTTCTTTTCCACCTGCCTCGTCCTGTTACCAATGACTGGCTGCCTTCAGTCTTGTTTCCTCAGTTACTCAGGCCCCATCCTCTCAGCTGTGGTTCCTTGGAGTTGGTTGCCTGAGTGCCCGGGGTGCTTGGATGTGGATGATCTGAGTATCTTTGGTGCTCAATGGGCTGAGTCTGAAGCAGAGGTTGGAAGATGTGGATTCTACCACCACCGTTCCATTCAAAGCCTAACAGTTCAGTGGTCTGTAGCTGAATGTGGCCCTTGTGTGTAAATGGATGTCCCTAGCTTTGCCCTGCCTTCGTTCTGGGAGTGTGTTTGCATGACTGTGCCTGAGAAATAATTTCATATGGGGTAGATGGGGGTGGGCATTCTGTATGGGAAATTGTTATGACTTGTTGAAACTGCATTAAGCCCCAGTCATTTCCTGAGCCTCTCAACAGAACATAGAATTACTCACTTGTGGCACCTGTGGGTTGTCTAAATAAATAAATAATTATGTTGAAATGTTGTAGAACTAATCTATCTTTTAAACTGGATTTGGGTCCTTTACTTCCTCCTAAATGACTTCCTTGATGAGACAAATGCTTAGGGCAATATCATTGCATTGCAGTAGGTCGCAAGCCTCTTTTCTCATGGGTTCCAGGATACCTGCAAGTCTGCATCTGCTCATGGAAATGCAGAGTGCACCCTGCCCCTTCCATGATCCCCATAATATCTTTGATTTGAGCTTGCACAGTTTCCTCTGGACATGTTTGAGCAAGGCAACTTCACATGCTTTCATTTATGAAATAACTTGTAAAAAGCTTCTCACTTGCAAAGCAAAACTTCTGATCTTTGCAAAGCAAGGTTACTGGGGGCATTAGGCTGTTATTAGTGGGCATTTGATGCAGCACACAGAAAGAATACTGGGTATCAATCAGGTCATGTGATGATTGTCTTTCTTCTGCTATTAGGTCGTCATCAGTATCACTGGCATCACTAACATATTCCTATGCTATATGTGAGTTAAACCTGTAAATCCTAACGTTTCTAGCAGGTAGATATTATCTCACTTTTGTACTGAGGACAACACTGAGACTTAAGTCCCAAGTCACTAGATACTATCCCTGAGTCCCCACAGTGACTAAACACATAGGATGCAGACTCTACCATTTGATCCAGCTTCTCATATGTTGGCTGCTTGACCAGCAACGTCTATATTAGTCTTCCTTCCATTGCTATAACAGAATACCTGAAGGGCTGGGCACTTTATGAAGAAAAAGAGTGGGGCTAGAGAGATAGCTTAGTGGCTAAGAGCTCTGGTTGTTCTTGCAGAAGACCTGGGTTCAAATTTCAGCACTACATGGCAGCTAACAACTATCAGTAACTCCAGTTCCAGGGGATCTGACATCCTCTTCTGTCCTCCAGGGCCACTGCATGACATGAGTGCACTTAGACACATGCAGGCATAACACTCATACCCATAAAACACTTATATCAGCCAACAGTTTCGGGGGTTCAAAAACATGGTGTGGTCATCAGCTTGTCCTGGTAAGGACTTCATGGTGAATGGCATCATGATGACAGTGGTATGTGAAAGCAGGAAAGATCTCATGGGGAGAGATGGGAAGGTAGAGAGCTGGGAGGCTTGCCTTTCTTACAATAACCTGATGATGAGAACTAACCAGGATTTCCTGGGAACTACTTCAGTTCCGTCTGAGGGCAGCATCCCCAGCTACCCAATTATTTTGCATAAACTTCCATTTCTTACAAGCTTTCTGCCGCTCACATTGCCATACTGAGAACTGAGCTCCCAACACACAAACCTAGCAACCTGAATGAGCACCACAGTGGCTGAGAAGAGCTCGGGGGGCGGGGGTTAGTAAACCTAAGAGGCCACTGACCCCTGCTCTCCTTTATGTCTCCTTTCTGAATCTCAAGTCTCCTTGCCTTAGAATCATGCTTCCTTCTAAGGATTTTTGGAGGATGGTGTGAATTGCTTTCATTGGTTTTCACTTTGCACAGGGGCTGGCACAGAGGAGGTGACTGTTGACCTCAAGCTCCCACTTCCTCCACTGAGAGTGTTGAGGTTTGGAAAGGTCCTGATAATGGATAAGACTATACTTGATTAAGGAGCAGCTTTGTAATATAAGGAACAGGTTTGAATGAAATAGAATTTCAATTTTGGAACTGACAGGTAAAGAAATATTACTGATCATTTCAGATTCTGGAAAATAAAAGGTAATATCAGATATGTTTCCAGATGAAGTAGATCAGCTTCTTTTATCAGACCCTAAACTTTGTGAGAGCAGGGAGTAAGTTTGCCACTGGCATAGATTTTCCCACCAAACCTTTAGCATGGTAGTGCACACAGTAGGTGACCAATAAGTACATGCTTGTCAAACAAAGGAGTGAATGAGCCATAAGCTCATGGTGTAGGATCCTCACAGAGCTGTGACTCCATTAGGCCCAGCATTTGAGATGGGTTTGGATCCAGTGTACCTTCCATTCGGTAGTTAGGAATGTGTTAGAGTTTGTTCTCCTTTCACTGGCCTCAAGTTAGTTAATTGATTCTTTAGGGATACTGGACTTTTCTATGGGTGTTTGTACTATCTGCTTTATTGTTAAATATGCATTGGACATGGGTCTGAACATTGGATTAGGCATGGTATCTGATAGCTAATGAGATTAAGCACTTTGAACTCAGGAAAGCTGCTGGGCACACCCCAAAATGCAGCGAAACCAGTGTTCATTTTACTGTTGTTGCAGGGGTGGGTCAACATAAGGCAACATAAGCTTTGTGGTTCTCTTAAGGCCACCAGAAACGTGAGCATTTGTTCCTGGACTGGACTGCACCGATGCTTTGAATCAACAATAGTGTGAGCTTTGAAGTTGTAGAAACCTGACAGAGTTCACAGGTGCCTCAGGCTCCCTACCAGGACCCTAGTGCCTCTGTTGAGATTCTAGCTTTAATACTGGATTTAAACGGGGAATGTGCTCTGTTCAGATCTTGCTTTCACTGATGGATTCTTGCTCTTTCATTTGATCAAGTTTGTCCTCTGAGTGTCCAGTGCTCTGCTACTGAAAAGACACAAACTGCCTTCTGCTTGTCAGAGAGCTTTGAGCTGAGATAGTCAAGATAGTTAAGAATGAAAGATTCAAATTAAAGCACTTTCATTGATTCATATTTTTTCTTCTAGCCTCCAGCATTTTGTTCTTAATCTTTAATTATTCCTCCAAAGTACTTTTATATCATTACCCAAAAAAGATACTTATAAGTTTCAGAACTGTGAACTCAAATCACCCAATTACCTTGGAAGTCTATTTAATGTGCTGTGATTTGGGTGGTGGTGAAGGAAGAAGAGTCCTGAGGGGATGCGTCAGTCAGTGCAGGAAAGCCTGAATCAGTGGCCTTAGGCACCAGGAGTTCTGATTGACCCAGCACTAATAATTCAGAGACTTTGTTTACATGATGAATGTGGAAAAAGAATTAATAGCTTAGGGAACATGATATTCTTTCTTCTTTCCCTGATGTGCACTGCTTTAAGAAGGAAATCATGCCATTGTTTTAATTGCACCACCTGCCATTTTAGTGGCAGCTGGACTGGCAAAGATGGAGTAGTATGCATGTAAAATTCAGGTCTCAAGACTGTGAGAACAAGTTACATGTAGAGACCAAGTGAAGGCACACTTGACATAAACCCTCAGAGATTTACATTACCTCTGTCAGAGGGTCTGTTACTGGGACATCATCAGGGTAAATTTTCGCTCTTAGCGGAAGGCTGTGCAGTTTAACTAGAGGCCAACTCTTTGCACATGTCATCAAACTTTTCATTTCTCATCCCTGATAGGCCTTCTCTCAAACCAGGGATTTCTCTCCAGACCTGGAAAGTGCTGTGGAACAGAAGTATTTTCTAAGGAAAGTTTAGGTGTTTACATAAGAACCAGGACTCAGGGCAGATTAGAAGTTGTGATATTGATTTTATGTATTCACATATCAAGGCTATTTAATCAAATACTAGTCTAGTTGTTGCTGTGAAAGTATTTTGTAGATGTGGTTAATGTCTATATTCAGTTGATATTGAGTGAAGTAGATTACCTTGGATAATGAGAGTGTCCCTCATGTGATCAGCCTTAAGAGCAAAACCTGAGGTTTCCCAGGAAGCAGTGCAAGACTGGGAGCATCACTTTACATCTGCACCTCCAGCTTGTTTGCCCTGACTTTCAGCCTTGACATCCTCCACAATCACATGAGCCACTTTCTTTAAATAAATGTGTGTGTGTGTGTGTGTGTGCGCGCGCACACGCATGCGTGTGTGTGTGTGTGTGTGTGTGTGTGTGTGTGTTGTGTGTGATTTATAGCTCAGTCTCTGTCTCTCTTTTTCTCTATTCCCTGGAGAACCCTG